TCTGGTTAGTAGGGAATGAGGGAAGGAATGAATGAATGAATGAATCAATCAATCAATGAATGAATGAATGAATGTACGTACGTACGTACGTACGTACGTACGTACGTACGTAGGTAGGTATGTATGTATGTATGTATGTATGTACGTTTTGTGCGTATGTACGTATGTATGTATGTATGTATGTATGTAGGTAGGTAGGTAGGTAGGTATGTATGTATGTATGTATGTATGATGTATGTACATATATGTATGTGTATATATATATATATTTGTGTATACATACATGTATAGATATGGTTGGTTTGGGGTTTGGGGGGTTGGATTAGTAATTAATAAGGGAATATGTTGTATAGAGGGTAAATTCCCATATTCCCAAGCAGGAACGCATAAGAACCCACTTGGGCCGTTCCATGTTGTTCTTGGAGCTTTAAAGCAAACTTTAGCACAAGCCGATTACGTGAAGCGAAAGAAAACTTGGCTGATATTCCGGGTGACCTGAATTTGGGAATGAACGCTCTGGGATGTAAAGGCAACAAATTTTTCTGGGGTGATGGAAATGCCTGCTCGAAGGAAGATGGTGCACAGAGACATCAAGTCCAGAAACATCTTCCTCTGCCGCACAGGGAAGGCGATGTCGGGTGAGGGGAGCTGATGTCAAGGGTAAGCAACGATTTTTCGAGTAACCTAGCTCGCAAGAACGTGTGATATGATTGAAGAATTCCAGGATTCCTGGGGTGAATTTTGAGTTCGTACGATTGAGGGTTCATTCTCTTGCAGTAGCCATTGGCCCTAGAATTGCTGTATTGTAGCCATAACGAATCGTAGACATTAATACAAATTATAATGGCCCAAGTACCCTAATACTATACGGTTTAGGGTGCCGACCGCAATTGAGACCACGGGAATTACTGGGGTTCTAAAGCCCCACACTTTAGGGTACGTGATCCCAAGCCCTGAGCACTTCACATCTAGTAGGAACTGTGCCAGTAAGTTTGAAGCCAGGCAAGTAAGTACAGTAGGTATATATCCTGCTGAGAAATGCAACTTCCCAACCTCGAAGCCCCCATCATTGATTGGTTTGCTGTCCGTAACTTAAATGAATTACCACACGATGCAGATTAAGCGTAGGCAATGTGGTTTTCTTGAAATGGTAACCTTAAACCCTTAACCCTGAACCCTGAACTAGAGCCATTTCAGTATTAAGGGTAATTGAAAGGAGCCACGCCTTTCAAAATCATGCGCTTTGATGGGCCGGTTAAGTTGAAGAATAGTTTATGCTAGAACAACCTAGGCTATGTATTGGGATAACGCAAAAAGGAAATGGAAATTATTATTCAGGGTGTCGTATTTTATAGTGTATGAGAGTGTATTATTTATATATATATAAAGAGAACACTTTCATTTTCGGCTTCATGTCTCGGATTAGACAAAAAAACGCTTCAACCACCAGCCTACATCCTTGACCCCAACTTTTTGTCCCCTGTTGACCCCAAATCCTATACCCTATACCCTGAGTTGTATGCCGTGGGCAAGCTGACCGGGACTTTACGACGGCATCCCTAGAAGTGTGCCAGAGTGCCTAGTACCCCGGATTTAAGGTATATATGAGGGTTTCCGGACATGAGGGATCCTTTTAAACAACGAGAATTGCGGAAAAAATGTGTCTATTTCGGGGACCCCTGTTTATGGAAACTACCATATATCCAGAGTTTGGAGCTTAGGGAAAACGCCTTCAACAAATGGACCCGAATAGGGTTTATGCCTTGATCAGGGTATGTCGAATATTGGGCTGTCTGGGCTTAGGGCTTACAGCATGTCATCACAAAAAAATATTGCAACCCTTGAAGTCCATCTATGTATACAAGAGCCTGGTAGACTCTTACAGACCCTGCCCCGCACTTTGGTTTGCAACCTCTATATGAGGCAAAGCCCCCAAAAACCTTATCCTTCCAACTTTAACCTTTCATCTCAAACTGAAAGTTCCTAAACCCTTAATCCTAAACCCTAAACCCTAAAACCTTAATCCTAAACCGCAGCCTTAACCTCCAACTTCAACGCCTAAACTGTCCAACCCCTTTAGACCTCTACCCAAAGCTCTACCTATATTGATCTATATAACTCTATATATGATCCCATATATAACCCCATACTGTCTAGAACCTTATTTGGGTCCTTGGACCTAAACCCTAAAGCCCTAAAACCTTAAAACACTAAAACCACCAAAGCCCTGAAAACCCTAAAACCCAAACCCTAAACCCCCCAAAACCCTAAATCCTAAACCCAAAAACCAAGCCTTCCACCAGATCAAGCTCCAGGCTCTGCTGGGAGATTTCGGCTTAGTGCGCTTGCTGGAGATCCTTGGACCCCTTCAGGGTTTTGGGGTTTCAGGGTTTGTGGGTTTTGTGGTTTTCGGTGTTTTTGGGGTTTTAGGGTTTTGGGGTTTTGGGGGTTTAGGGTTTAGGGTTTAGGCTTAGGGTTTAGGGCTTCAGGATTTGGACCTCTAGGCCCCCATAAACCCATTGGGGTAATATTAGGATTATATTGGGGTTATATAGGGATAATGGAAAAGCAAATAAAACTACTAGATCATAGGGCTTAGGGTTTCGGATTTAGGGTTCGGGGGGTGGGATTTAGGGCTTAGAATTCAGAGTCTAGGGCTTAGGATTCAGGATGTGGGGTATAGGGTTTAGGGTTTAGGGCCCAGCACGCCTGGCTTGTTGTTAGCCAAAAGGTGGATGCTGGCACATGGTACATATCTTTAGGGCCCGAAGGGGTTCCACTACAGTTTGGTGCCCAGTTATATGCTGTTTGGCTACATGGACCTTTTCAGCTAAGCAACTTCGCTGAAGCTACTGCTATCAGGAAAACTATTATGCATCCATATTATGGTCATGTGATCTGTGTTCCTTAACAGCAACCCAGTAGCACTTCCCGGGCATCCCAGTTTGTTACTGTAGGTACATAATTAACCGTATCATGGGTTTTGATGGCTTGTGTACTTTTAGCATAGTGTACTTCAAGTGCTGTAGTACTTCCACCCAAAAAATGTGTTGGTCACCCGTTCAGTCTTGAACCCGAAGGGCTCAAGTACCTCAATGCCAGGTCAGTTGCAGGATTGGATCCGAAGTACCCATGTAACAAATCCTTTGAGCCATTGTCTAAACTCCTCGTCTCCCTCTTAATATCCCCTTGTAGCAGTCTCCTATAGATTCCCTTACAATTTAATGCGACCTCACCCGACCTCACCCTAAACGGTGGTTTATATAGGAAATAGTACCAACAGGGACTTACATTGAGAACTGATTTTTTCTAACTTGCCCCCCTGTAAGGAGTTCAGACTATAGCCCATTTGGGTTCAACAATGCTCACTCTGGATGCGGGATGCGAGTTTTGACTTCGCCTTGCTTTTGCACCTAACCCTACCTAGACACCCTTTTTTTAGGATACCTAGCTTTCTGTTACATATCTCCTATATGCAAAATTAAGTATTCTAAAAAGGGGTAGGGGTAGGGTTTGAAGGTCTAGGTACACGCTAAACTCATTGTTAATGTCAGGATGTGCTGTTCCGCTTTAAGTATGGGAGGCATCGTGTTTTGGGTTAAGGGGAGTTCCGAAACAGTTCAGGTCGTGCAGCTACGGTAGGCTTGGGGTGAGTTTCTTATGAGGTTTTGGTGTTGGGACTATTTTTGCCATAAATCCCAAAATCTCAGCACCGTGAAATGCTGTTCCTGATTCAAGCCCGTACACCAGGTTCCGAACTAAAGCCCATTGGCACTATGTAATTCGCCCCAAACTTGCCGAAGGTCCACTTGCGAACTGGCGCACACTCGCGTCGGCACGCCGTACTATCTGAGTCCAGAAATCATCCGCAAGCTGCTTGCTTGGATGAAAGTTGGGCCCAGGGTTCCTAGAGTGCCCATGCAGGTATAGTCTAAACTGTTGGGTTACTAAGGGGATTATATAGGGGACTACTACAGATGTTATTAAGGAGGATACTTGGAGTTTAGACTATAGCTCATATAGGCTCAGGCCCCAAAACTGATTCTATAGGAACCCCTTTGATCCCTAAGCATACACGACGCTAAGCTCTGAACCCCAAACTACAAGCTAAACCTTAAGATGCTTGGATCCTTTGGGGGTAGTATGATGAGGTCGGGGCCCAGAGTGGCTTGTTAGGAATCAGGGCTAAATCCTAAACCCTAAACCCCTAAACCCTAAACCCAGGAATCAGAGTTTCAGGGCTGAGGGATACTGATTGGTGCAGGGGTTGAGAGGGAACTTGGAGCCCACGGCGACAAGCAGTCTGTGCAGTAGGGGAGCCAGCCTCACCACAACAGGATAATGGAAAGGAAAATGGCAACTACTATAATATTTGGGGATTTTATTGAGATAATGGAAAAGGAAATGGAAACTGCTATAGTACATAAGTTTGTTCGTGCACCAGAATGCCTAGCAAAGTTTCAGTTAAAGGTTGAAAGCTCGGCTTCAGGAACTACATACGGGTTCATTTGGCTTCGTAATTGTGTATAACCGGGGGTATAGCGCTGCTGAACACGTGGGCAACTCTCTTGAAGGCATTTAAGGGGAGGGGATCACAAATGGGGTTGTGAGCCCAGCTATGCGCAACTACCGGGTTCCATGGACCTCCAAGTAGGTTTGGTCGGTCAAAGGGTCGTGGCTGTTGCCGCCAGTTGGGCTTCTCGTGCGTTGTGATCTCTCCTTCATTGGTGTACCTGACATAGGGAGTACCTGGACCTGCGGAACTTTGCTTCAAGGGTGTGTGTGTGTGTATAAGTCTATATATGTATATGTGTGTGTGTGTGTGTGTCTGTGTGTGCTTGTGTGTCTGTGTGTGCTTATTCATGTATCTGTTTATACATTTACATCCAACATAGAGGACGACAAGAATGAGGACATAACCTCATTCTAAACCGTAAGTACTTATTGCAGTAGCTTCCATTCTGTTTTCCATTCGCCCACATAGCCCTATATCTTTCATAGGTATAACCTAGCGCCCCTGAACCCTAAATCCTGACCCCCTCGCCCTAAACCCTTAGCACTACATCCAAAGATGGGGTCCGTAGCGTCTAGATAGACATCTCCAGTGGCTGCAGCCAATAGGATTGAACAGGATTTTTTTTATCATCGCTATTATACTCCGCACCGACATCATGTTTAGCAGCTTGGTTTTGGGGTAGTAGCCTTTGTAACCCTAAACCCTAGACTTAATACAGCTCTGCAAATAAAAAACATATATGTATATATATATATATATGTGTTTTTCAGATCCTGAGGGCAGGGTTGTTGCCTGCGAAGATGAGAGGCAGCCTTACAACTACAAGACCGACGTGTGGAGTTTGGGCGTGCTGCTCTACGAATCTTGGCTATCGTAGATGTATGCACACATAGAAGGGTATATAGGGATACCTCTATATTATATGTATGTTTACATAGGGATCTTTAGGGTTGCAGAATTAGGGTTACCATGGACAATCACATGGAAAGAGCACTAACATGACACAGAAACTGGTAGCACCCTGAACCCTTAACCATTTCTGGGCTGAAGGGCTGGGTTCGGGAAGCCCCAGTCAGAAGCAGTCAATATCAGGTTTAGGGTTTAGGGGTTTAGGGCTTAGGGGTTTAAGGTTTAGGGTTCACCATTTCTTTATGCTATAAGATCTCCAGTAGTTGAAGCATGGAATGGCCTGCAAAACGATGTATCATCAGGGTGATAAGGGTGTTGCCGAACAGGGATAGGAGAAGCGGAAAAGAACATGGAAACTACGATTTAGGGTTTAGGGTTAAGGAATTATAAGGACCATAGAGGAGAAACGACTAGAAAAGGAATGTGAACATGAAATGAAAACTGGGCTTATACAGGGATATATAGGGTTTAGGGTTTCCCACAAACAGGGATACCTTTTTTCGGGGTCCGTATAATAAGAATAATTGTATTTTGGAGCCCAGATGGGTTGAACATGTTAGATGGGGCCCCTCGTTGAGCAAGCAATCCCTTTTTTGAAGAACCACTTGTAAATGGCAAATGAGGCCCTTAATTTTTTTAGACAGTTAGATAACTGGGCCTCTTTTCAAAGTATTCCCAATAAAAAAAAGTGATCTTGCATGACATTCAAGGCCTTGCATTCGTTTGTGCTATACGGGGTGCTGTGCCAAGGTGGGGCAAGGGACAGTTATAGACGTAGATAACACTAGCGTTTCACAGTGTAACTTAGGTCGAGCCCCCACCCACTCATGGTGACTGCCAGTGGAGAGAGGCAAGCATGTCGGGGTCCGTATATATGCGTATGATGTCATAATTCCTGCGTGGGGGCCTAGCCAAAAATTCACCTGCCTAGATTTTGGCAGCCTTGCACTCCAAAATAGAGTGCATATATGCCATAATCATTGGACTCGGGGGTACTATAGTAGCCTTGAACCCCCAAATAATGGGTAGACGGGCTAAAAAATGGCAAGGTCTGGGCTTGCCTTCAGCCCAAACCCTGGTCTTCAGAAAAATGATGCCCTAGCAAGCTGCAAGCCTCACTATGCAACATGAACATCCCCAACCTCTTCATTGAGCGTTGCCATGTCCTTAAAGGGGGATACATAGGGGACTATGTGGGGTTCTTGAATAAGGGCCACAGTATATTGGGGTCTGTATTGGGATATATGAGCTATAGTCTATCGTCGTTTCTATAGGGGAGTACATACGGTTGTAGACTATATATGGCTCATGCCTTCAAGGTGGCAGTGTTAGAGCCCTATAATAGGTTTCTCAACATAACTGGATGCGTATGGTTCGTACTCATCCCAAGCCTAGGAGCGCAGTTGTGAGAAACAGAACCCCGAAAGGACCAGACCATGTGAATTTAAGGGAGTAGAACATTTCCAGCAGATTTCAGTTCTGGATTTCGGACAACTCATCTGTAGGGTTTGCCTTTGTGATTTCTCATCCTAGGCTCCCAGTTGGCGCAATACCGAGCTCTGACAAGAATATGCCTCAACTCCTGTCCCGGTATCTACATGTCTACACTGAACCGAAACCCTAAACCCTAAGCCCTCAGCCCCAAACCCTAAACCCTAGCTAAGAGCTGTACTTTCAGCCCATGCAGAAGCTCTGGATCCCAAGCCTTTTCTTTCCCAAAGAGTCCATGTAGCCATATAGTATATACTTGGAGGTTTTGGGTTTTGGGTTTCGGGCTTGGGTTTCAGGGTCTATGGATATAGTATATAGTTGGAGGTTTAGGGTTCAGGGTTTTGGGCTGGGGTTTAGGGTTTAAGGTTTAGCGTGTTGGAGTAGGGACCCATTGTTGCGATATGGGAAACCCTATGGGCCCCAAGTATGTACTATATGCCTCGTGGACTTTTGTGGCTTTGGAACATCTGAATTCTTCCTGGACACACAGGCTGAGTAGAGTTTTGAAAACGTTTGGGGTTGGGGTTTTAGGCTTAAGCCCTAAGACCCTACGGGTAAGTTTTGATCCCAAGGAAATGGCGGCCCTCAAGAGGCCCTTTGTCGGAACGCTCGAAAGCTTCTGGGCGCAAAATTGGTTGTCAGTCCACACTGCAGTTTAGGGAACTCAAGCAGGGGGGATTGTCTAGTACAACGTTACCTTCACATCCACTACAGCGGCCCACAGCCTGCCTCAAATACAAGCTGCAACAAGAACTATCATCAGGTCTCCCCAAGATCATCATCAAGGGCGAGTACGAGCCTCTGGGGAGCCACTACAGCACCCTGGCAACCACCTGGACAGACTAGAGGGTTTTATTCGGGGCACGGGCTTTCGGGCGACGTAATTGTGCTACAACATGCACTGGTTTTCGGCTGGTAATAATGTGGTAGTTTCCCAAAATAAGGGAACCCCAATATAGACCCCAAAATACTAGGATCCTTGTTAATTATGGGGATTCCTAAAGAGGTACCCCTAATTTTGGGAAACCCCCATGTATTTTTGGCTACCCCGAGAGGTAGTATTTTCACAGACGAGCGGCATGGTCTTCCTCTTGGCAGCATGGCTTGCGGTAGCCTGTTCTTCCTAAAGCCCTGTAGCCCCGAGAATTGCCCTTTGAAGCGACGTCTAGATTTTATGGCTGGGGCCTTTAGGCATATAGGGATTTTGAGCTAGGAGTTGTATGATTAGACTAGGCTTGAGGGTTTGCTCTGCCATGCATAAGGATGAAAAGGAAATAAACTTGGCAAGTAGGAAGTTGCCCAGAAGGGGGCCCTAGTAGGGCATCCGAAAAGAAGTTGGAAATGCAGTTGTCATACATAGGAGCCACAATTTCGATGACATCCCATGCAGGGTCATGCCGTGCAGGTTCCATGGAATCGCGCATGATGCTGAAACACCATCCTCTCTTTGGATTATGAAGTCCAGATCGCACGTCCCCAGGATTAAGACTGCCGAGCATCTCACCAATCCACACAACAAAACATGTTGACTGCATCGTCGGGACCACTGTAAAGGATTACATGTGGAAAATCTGCCACATGGCGCCATGGGATCATGAAGGATTGGTGCGTTACCCTCGCTTTCCTACCCACCCCCAACTAAGGCTGCACAAAAATCCCCAAAAGGTGCTGTGGGAATCGTTACCATACTCCCAACCCTGGAGTTCTGGGTGGACTGACCTCGAAACAAAAGTCCAGGAAACGGACAGTAAATCCTAAACCCTAAACTCTATAGAAGTTTCCATGTTATTTTCCATTCTCCTCTTATTGCCCCAATGTTCCCAAGTGTTGGCTTTTAGGTATTAAAACGCTCTGGGGCCTCATCTCTCTCAGATGGGTCGTTGTAGTTGTGGTAGGAGTAGGAGAAGTAGAAGGAAAAAGGAGTGAAGAGTAGGAATTGGAGAAGGATGAGCAGGAGAGGAATAAGCCTTAACGGTCGCAACTGCACTTAGGATCCGTAACCCTTGAGCCAAAGCCTAGGCCCCAGGGCCCGAAAACCCGGACCTCAGCTCTCAGCCCAACAGCAAACGAAGTTCAGAAGAGTAGCATCCGCGACAGGAAGCTACTGTCCCCAACATGGAGTAAGATGATCTTCTCGTTTAACTTCGGTAGAGCCTTTCTTGTTTCAACTACTGAAAACACCTCTCGGAAAGGTCCTGAATTGCATGGATTGGTGGCACGGATGCTTGCAGTTGTGCCGCGGCAGGTTTAATAGAGTGCAGGCTTCAGGCTGTCAGAGTAACACCCCAGAGGGTCTACGTACGTGCATATATTGATGGGTTTATATAGATGTATGTATGTAAAAGGTGTTGGGTTTAGAGCTTTTGGTTTTTTGATTGGGGTTTTTAGAGTTTGGGTTTAGGGTGTGGGCTTTAGGGTTTGGAGTGTGGGACCTTGGGTTCGGAGCGTTGGGTTTTGGTTTGAGGCCGTGAGCTCCAGGGCTCTTGGCCTAGAGGGGGTCTCAGCAAGATAAATGGCTCTTGAAGGTCCAAGAACCTCTGAGGATCACTGGGCTTGATCCCCCAAAACCCTGAAGTAACCTTCATTAGCTTTAGGGCTTCGATTCAGGGTTTCCTAAACAGATCTCGCTATGACTCACTTACATCGCCATCTCCCACAGTCTTGTAGCTCTTTGTTGTCGGGGGTAGGGGGAGGGTTGTCCTTAGGGTCCATCGGCCTGCACAGCGTGCAGCCCTTGATTAGTGCACTGTCTGTTGCCCGGTTTAGGGCTTAGTGTTCAGGGTTTAGGTTTCACGGGTCCAAGGACTGAGGTATGATGGTTTTAGTCTCAGGTATCAAACGCTACAATCTAAATGTGTGTTTGCTACCTGAGACTGTCATATTTGAGGCGTTGAACGCCAAACCTTACAGCCTTAAATCCTATTTGAGCCCAAAGTACTACATCGTCAGATTTGCGTTTTCCAAACTGGCGTACATCAGGGCATCTAGAAGTCTAGAAGTATGTAACTTGTTTGGAGCGTATGGGAATTACAGTCGTCGCAAGCAAGAATTCTACAACAATCTTTCTTCGGATTGGCGCTCGAAACGGGTGCAGGGCACAAGCCTGGGGATCTAAGCCTATTTAGGACTTACGGTGGAGTTTAGGGATTGCATGGCAGCTTTACAGGGATGATCTAAGGGTATATAGAGGAAATCTGAGCCTACCCAACGTGCAGACCCCCTGAACCACTCGAAGCCGAACCCAGAAGCACTCAACCCTGCACCCTAATCCCCCAACCCTAAACCCAAATCACTAAACGCTAGACCCTGAATTCCAAGCCCTAGATCCGTGAATACCAGCAAGTATGTTTAAAACCCAACCCTTGCAGAATCCACAAGCTTCTTGGGACGTCTGAGGATCCGGCGCATAGGTTGGACCTGGCATCCGCTCTGAACGAGGAGGCCTGGGGTAGCATATGTCCAAGGGTCCCTGCGGGTGTATATGTGTATATACATATATGTATATATATATATATGATCGAGAGACCTTTAGGGATTATTTGCCGAGTCTATTTCTTTCTCTAATATATATA